TTCTTCTTCTTCTTCTTCTTCTTCTTCTTCTTCTTCTTCTTCTTCTTCTTCTTCTTTTGTATTATTTAATTCAAATCTTGTTCCTGGCTACTTTTACAGAAACATTTAAGGAGATTTGCCCTGCAGGCCATGGCTACACTTATGCCAGCTCAGACATTCGGATGTCCTTGAGGAAGGCAGGAATTGATGAGCTCCCCCCACTCAGCTCAGAGGAGCAAAGGGGACATAGTGATCAGAGGTCTAACTGGACAATTAGACAGAAGGAAGTGCAGGAGGTCTTGAATGGTGGTGCTATAGATATTTTTCCCCCAACTGACATCCCAGCAGGAAAAGGTAAGTGTCATACATTAATTTCTTTGGTGAATTCCAAGGATGCCACAGAATTCTGTTTGAACTTTTCCAGAATGATTGTTGGGGGAGATGGGCAGCATACAAATTTATAGATAAATAGATAGATAGATAGATAGATAGATAGATAGATAGATAGATAGAATCTTAGGCTCTAATTTCAATGAATAATTCCTTTGATTATAGCCCTTTAATTAATCAAAAATCAATTTAATTTAATTTTTATTTATGATATTCTGGACCACATTACATTGCATATTTACAAACAGTCTTAGAATATCAGATGATTATGAAACAAAACTGGGAGATGTGGCTAGTACTTTAGAGGAGAGAATGGAGATTAAAAAGATCTAGGCTAGGTTGAACAGTGGGCTGAAATGAATAGGATAGAATTTGACAGGGAGGAATATAAAATTCTGCTTCTGAGTAGGAAAAATAAGAAACATGCATATAGGGTAGAGAGATCTGACTTGGCAATAGTACAAGTATCTGGATGTTGTTGTCAACCACAAATTAAGTACGAGCCAGCATTGTGAAGCAGTGGCTGAAAGGCTAATTCTATCTTGTGGCACATTAAGTGGCACTAAGTTCAGATCACAGGAAGTAGTTGTTCCATTCTGCCCTAGCAGACCCAACCTGGAATTCTGTGGCCAGTTCTGGACACTATAGTTCAAAAAGGAGCCGATATATTGGAACACGTTCAGAGGAGGGCTATCAAGATAGTGAGGGGTCTGGAAACCAAGCTCTATGAGGAACAATTAAAGGATCTGGGTAAGTTTACCTTACAGCTGAGATGACTAAGGGGAGAGATAATAGCACTCTTCAAAAATTGAAAGGTTATATAGAAGAGGGAGAAGATTTATTCCCACTCCGTTACCAGTTCTGACCTGCAAATATACTTGGCATGCAAAGAAGAACTATATTCTAACAGCCTTTTGTCATTTTACAGCAGAATCCCAAGAAGATCAGGTGAGTA